ACACACACACACACAAACCCCAACTTATACACACTTCATGGTCCAGCACCACTTGTAGCCTTTTCCCTTTTGTCAGCTGTTCCAATTAAATTACACAGCAGTGCAACGCATCTGAATAATAGATGATTCGCCTTGTATCCCAGCTGCACTCAACTTTGAATTTAGCTTTCATTATCCTTCGACTGAACTTATCTTAACTTAACTTATATGCCTTGTTTGCACCCTGGCAAAAACACACACTTTCTCTTTAGTAGTTGTAGAAATAAACAAGGCTTGCTATTTTAAGGACATTGTTATATTGAACACTGTTACATCAGTGTGCCATTAAGGGGAGAGTTAGTATTGTAGAGCTGCTATTGTTGTAGCTGTTCAGGAACTGGCAGGTGGTAGATAGAGTTTCCCCTGTGGTGAAAGTCCTCTCTAGCGTCTTATGCATGTTGCCTCTCACAGCCAAATTTGTCAAGCTAATGTAATGACTGCAATTACTTTATTTTTCACCATAATCTTTGTTTTTATACAGTAGCCTGCCTTCATCTCTTGTTGTTTCTTTCAACAGTTATTGGTATGTAGAGTAGTTAAACATTTTAAATATATTTTGCCCTGTTAACTGATGGCTTTCACACCTCCTACTTGTTTTGTTTAACTCTAGACCTTTACAGATGATGTGAGCCTAGTGAAGGCCGGAAAACATACGGGTACCAACATGTATCAGATTTTTTCCCCACTATGTCATCATCGGTCCAGTACTTGCAGTATCTAGTCTCATGATCTAATGATACTCAGATCCATGGATAATGGGTTGTCTTTCCTTCCAGCAAATATTGTTTTGTGGTTATAAGGGTGTTTGTCCTGTGGTCACATAAATCCTTTTAGTCTGTCTCCGTCTTTGTGCAGGCAACGGCCAAATGCTTTGCATGGATATTTATAGTGGTATTTACAAGCTAATTTATGCTCAGAATATGATGCATAAAATGAAATACAAGGGGAAAAAAACAATAAGTTATTATAAAACTGACTTGCTAGTTAAGCACCTGTCACACTGCATTTTGACTGATAATTTGTTAACCATCCCTCATCTGTCCCATGTGTCCACAGCACCCTTTTGTGAGATCGGTGACGTCTAACCGCCCACTGCGGGAGCTGGTGGCCGAGGCCAAGGCTGAGGTCATGGAGGAAATAGAGGACAATAGAGAGGAAGGAGAGGAGGACGACGCCATGGAGCTCACTGTGGTACTAAGCTTTTTTTCTTTCTGTCCTTTCATTTTCTTTTGTCATTGTTTGTTTCCAAAAGGAGAGTGGTCAGTCCATGTCCTTCCAGTAGGTCTGGTGGCTTTAAGCTGTTGGGTTGTAAGAATACATGTGATTTGGACTTACAAGTTCAATAATGGCATGTAATAATGGCACAGTAAATCTTGTGACTGAAAAAAATATCAGTTAGAGTTAGAATACCACCTTTGTTTTGGTGTCACCACACAATGTAATTAATTCCAAACTCATGCACATAATCACGCAAAGGCATTCACTCACATGTACATGCACCCTTGTCCTGAAAAGCACTCACATTCTGCCCTAACTGTCCACTTCCCTTACCTTTGAAGTCTTTGCTTGTTGACCCCTTTGAACAGCATTTTTTCTGTAAACATGGCCTTCCTGCCAAAGGAATCAAGGGCCATTCTGCAGAAACATTATATAAATGCAGTTTACCGTCTGCCCTTGGCACAAACAAAGGCACAGAAACCTTAATCCTGGCATTCACCCACACATGGTTAAATATAGTTCCTGCCTTCAGCCTCACTCGTGTATAGTACAAACGCTGTCACCTCACAACCCCTGATGGAGTGAATTATTTAAGGTTGCACATTGTTCTGTGATCCTTAACTAAAGATAGATGGTTTACTGTACACCAGTGACCCACGGCAACAGAAAACCCTAGAAATACTCTACCTAGCAGGAAGCTGTGACCAGTCAAATGTGTTTATCATGTGTTGAACATGGATGTTTTTCTCTCTGTGGAGATGAATGTTTGCCCACTTATCTCTTCCTCCCCTAATGTCAACAGTTGCTGCGATGACTTCCGAATTTATTGAAGTGAATAACTTGGCTCCAGTGCAGTTTGAAACTTGGCTAAGAAGCCATTGCTTCTGTGTTTTGCACTTTCCAAACATCTTGTGAATCAGACGTATGTCGTATAAGCACCTGCCAAAGTACTAAAAAATTGGCTCAGGGATAGTTCCCGCTAGAGTAGCTTTTGACGGAGGGTGTGGTCTGACCCAAACATCCACATCTTGACAAGCGTGGTGGTGTGACCCCATCACAAGATGGTCTCTAGTGTTTAAATTAAAACAAAAGTGGACCAGGGGTGTAAAGTGGGAGGAACACTTGCCCCCTCCCTACTTCTGGCGCCCTTGCATGGACCACACCATTTTCCAAGTAGTTTACTATACCATTGCAGTTGTTTCCCCATCTATTCCAGCAAGGGGACTCATGTACACATACAGCAATATTTTGACACCGCCAGTTGCAAGGCCCTGAAAGCCAGCCAAGCAGTTGCCTGACCGTTTATCTCTTCCTATATATCATACACAGCCGGACAGAGTTGTTTGCTGAGACATTAGACATGCTGAACCTGACTGTAAAGATGTCCGATAATATTGTTTACCTTTAGTGGAAGACAACAGAGAGGTATTTCAGGAAGCAGAATTGCTTAGTTTGACAGATAGCTGTGCACATTATTTTGGCCTCTTCAGTGGTGTTTATTATTACAGACCCTGGAATTCCGATGTCTTCATACACACGTCTTCAACCTTCTGTAAATGGATGTTAAAAGTTTGTATTTTCCCTTTTGGTTTTGATACAGATATTTTTCATACTTTGGCCAATATGACCGTGAAACAGGTATTAAATTGAATTCTATGTGGTATTAAAAAAAGGCAATTTGGACTTGGTGAACCTTGCAGATACCCTGTTTTAGAGGGATAAAAAAAATAATTTTAAGAAATGCATTGTTGCACACAAACCATAGGGACAAATCTTTAGCCAAGTGCTCATCAAGAATCACACATAATTCTTATTTATAATGCCATTAAGAACTCTTTATGCCTGGTTGTCAGCCATGATTTACTCAGGCTGTTCATCCCTGTAATTACTAGTGTACTTATTACAGATTAGATAGCCATCTCAGTCTCAGAAGTAGTGGAGGAATCTAAGCAGGAATGACTGCATTCCTAAAGCTAAGGTTAAGGTTACTACACTGAAGGTGGGACGCCAGACGGACTGTAGCTTTAGCTAAAACCAAAGGTTGAAAACATTCAATTTTGAGTCTTAAGTTTGGAGGCTAAATGGCCAATTACCTGTTCAACTGCAGCACATTATGCAGAATGGAAACGTACTGGTCCTTTTTAAAGTGTAAATTGTAGTAGGATTTTTACATTTTGGTGAGCACCATTGACTTCAGGCCTGAAAACATCAAATGTTTTGTCAAACCATAAATAACAATACTTCTCTTCTCCCTCCTCCTTATTCCCTAAGTCTCCAGGCAAGGAGCCGTGTCAGACCAGTCAGACCAGTTTGGAAGGAGACCAGTCTCTGGACACCCCAAGCCCCACCACACCTTCCCCAACCACACCAACACCTTTACCCAGGAAGGGGCCCGAGCCAGAAACAGAGGAGCAGCCAGGCTCCATCGTGGTTGTCCCTGTCCCCCTACCACGGCAGAATCTCCCTCCAAAAGATCCAGAGGAGTTGGGCGTCAAACTGGCCAATGAAGAAGTCACTCATGAGTCAGAGAAGTCTGAAAGCGAGGGCTCAACCAAGACTTCTAGCTCGGATTCAGGCATTGAAGATGGGAAGAGTACCCCCACATCTGAGGAGGAGAAGGTGCTCTTTGTTTTAGATTTAGAAAATGAAATACTACTGTGTCTACTGATTGATAATCCTAAAGTATTGACTGTGGTCTCTTCAAAGATTTGTAAGTAATAATACTAAAATCCATTTTAAGGTTCCTGTGGAGACCCCGGAAACCGAACAGCCACCGTCTCTCCCCCAGCCAGAGGCATCTGAGGAACCTGTTGACATCATCATAGGCTCAACAGACCCAGAGGTGCCCAAGATCAAGGTGACAGAAGAGGAGAGCAACGTTGTGGCTAACGGAGGCTTAACAACACCCAGCTCAAGTCCCACTACCACTCCTACACCCACTCCTGCTCACTCTTCTGCTCCTACCCCGGTACCGACATCCCGTTCTGGGCCGAACGGCAACCTAACCAAAGGCACCCCAGAGCGGACATCGTCAGGAGCAGACGCTGAGACTGTCTCGCCTTATATCAATGGAGGGATTTTCAACAAACGGTACTCTTACTCAGGCAGCATGGCATCAGAGAGCATGGACATGTCGATCCACAAGGAGAACATCTCAATGTCCGCAAGGGTAAGTCAACATAAAACCGGAGTACCTACTAAGCATCCTGATCTGTCCTGCATGAATATTCTTATTTTAAAGTACCATAATGAAAAAATCTTTACATAATGGTTTGTTGATTCGGAATAGATTAATTAACCAGGGATATAAACATCATCAACAATCATTTCTGCTGAAACACACAAGGAGTAAAGGATAGACAGCTCCCTGCCTCTGTAGGAAAACCCCTCCTTGGAAAAACTATTTCTCTGCACCCACAGAGGAACTGAAACTGCATTGTGTTGTTTTGGGATGTGGGTGTTAACCATCTGCAACAGAGGATAGCCTGTCTTCCATTAGTTTGGCACTACACTTTGTTTTTGGGCAGGATACAGAACATGATACTAGTTGATGTTCTTAAACACAAGGTTATTTCATTTTAATTGTGGTGAATATGACTTTATTTTGTCAATCTGGGCTGAATTATTGACAAAAAAACTTTTCAGTTTATTAAAACACCTCAACCAAAAAGTAAAATGTCATCACACCTTAAAAACATCATGACAGTGCATTTTTGACATATTCTAATGGGTATATTGTCCTAAAAGAGGAGAATTCCAGTAATTTGTAGATGACTAAACAGTCACCAAATTTGTGCACAGGCTGACAAACCCAGTGTGGGAGGGAAGTTAGGAAGCTGAAGGGAGAGAAGAGAGAGACCATTTTATCATTAGACACCAAGCCTTTCTGAAGCAAAATATGCAACATTTTCAATTCATCAGGACCAACACTGCCCTTTGTGTGGGCACAGTTCAGTATTCACCAGTGTGAATGGAAGTTTCTATGCGGCTCATTGTCGGCTTCTGGAGGTTTATGGACTGACCATGATTGAAATCCTATTGACTGTGCGTGGAGTAGTGTCTGTTTGTGGTATGTTTTTCCAGAACAGATTATTCAGCAGGCGACTCAGCCAGCAGCCTGCACTAAGAGTGAATGGGCTTTCTTTGTTTTTGGACAGGAGGACACTAGCATTGGTGTGAGTGTGTGCATCTGCACAAGCGTGTTGCATCGCTGTTTGCATGTGCTCATAAATTCGTGCGTGTGTGTGTGTGTGTGTGTGTGTGTGTGTGTTTTTTGTGAATGAGGAGCGATAGGAAGTCAGCAGAGTCACGTAGAGCCTCAAACGCAAACAACGCACCCGAGCCACAGAATGACCCACATGTCCTCTGATTACAGTGCCAGTGTGCACTTAATGACACACTCAGACGCACGAGCACATAGATTTATTGCTATTGTAAATGTGCTTGTTGTGTAGAAAGGGAAGCATCAGTACAGTGTAGATGTAGCATCCACTAACTGTCATTGATGGCAGTAGCCTCGCACAGACTCGTATGTTGTCTATTTGCTCAGCTGTAAAGGGGCCATGAGGAAGCTATGTCAGAGTAGACAAAAGTTTGCACAAACTAAAATGAATTGCCACTCTTTGGTTCAGTTTCCACCTCTCCAAATGTAAAAACTATTTATAAACCAGGTAATGACGACATCCAGGGTTTGACTTACCCAGTGTTTGCAGAGTAAACCCTGCCATATCAGTCTTGTAAATATTGTGTGTTGAGGGTGATTTAGATAGGAGACACTGGAAATGTAACCATTAAACAACATGTGCTCTGTTAACCATGACAATTTTGTCTGTTCATTTATAAGGTTGGGTCATGCTCTGACTCACATTTAAAAAATGTAATGTATGATGCCCCTAGACATTGTTGGATTGGCCTGTGATGGCTGGCTCATATCTGCTAAATTAGAGTTCATTCAACTTTGAAAGAAAAAGGTCATGGGCCTGTTCTTGGTAGACTGCTCGTGTTTGGTTAAAAACTTGAATCTCTAAAAAGTGACTGTTCCAATAACTAAGGACATTTTTTAACTGTTTTCTAAAGCAGCAGATTGTGCTATTCTTACCTAAAGTGGAAACCAACCACATTTTCAACCAGCATTGTTGTAAAGAGTTTAAAAAAAACAAGTCACATTGTGTCATATTTACTGGATGAGGTCGGATTGTTGTTAGACAGTTACTTCCTGTATGGCGCTCCCCATTACAGTGACAGATGGAGCCTCTTGCTTCTTGTTATAGTAGAACCAGATTGACAGGAATATTAATGCCTTTGTCAACACACATTAACACACAGCTGCCTCTTCTTCCGTCAGATAAAATTACTGCATTGGGAATCACAAACATATTTAAAGAGGAACTCCATTAATTGTACACATCATAGTTGGTTTACAGGTCTTGAGAAGCACTACTGCATATGTGAAATTTTTTTGTGTGAAGCCCTTTGTGGCTATAGAGGGAGCTGCATAGAATTTGATAAATTGCCTCAAGTGATGTCACGTGAGTCAGCGCTGGTTGGGGCAAGTTTGAAAATGGAAGAATAGAAGAAGTGAGCTTGCATGACCTCTGTGGCCTGCTCCTCAATCTCATATCTGCTTGAGGCTAGCAGCTCGAGGCTACATTAGCAACTACTAGCATAACACCGAATCTCTGACCTAGTTGTCAGCGTTCGAGTGGAATTGTGAGTTATGTAGGCACCAGGCTTCGACAAGGAAGTAAAATTTATTAAATGGTCCTACTGTTTTGTTTTTTTAACTGTCGTGAAAAATGTTTGTAACGTTGTGAAGTTATAGCGGTGCAGTGCTAAATCGCTCTTATGAGCTACTTTACAACTTTGTGACAGTGACCTATGTCATGTCTTCCACCCCCATACTCTTTGCCCCCCCAACATTTTAATTTACATCTAAACTACTAGAATAACCTTCTGGCAGACCTTCACTGTACTCTCAAATACATAAAATGATGCATGCGGTATTCACTTGTACTAAAGCTCATTCCTTTTTTGTGACCTTTGTTGCCCTCTGTATGCCACTCAGGCCTTCTCGAGTAAGACTCTGAAGCGAACCAGGAAGTTTGTTATTGATGGCGTAGAGGTGAGTGTGACCACCTCCAAGATCATCAGGGATGACGAGAAGAAAGATGAGGAGATGAGATTCCTGAGGTATGTGGGTGACTGTCTACACAACACACATTCAGTACACACACTTAAATATATATTCACCACCTAGATAAGCAGAGTGAGACAAATGTGATGTCTCTATCTCTTGGTTTGTTTTCCTTTTTTTTTTTTTCATGGAAAAATAATCTGTTTTCATTTTCTGTGAATGAGGTCCATGAGCTCATTCCTCAGGTCAGAGTCTGTACAGTGATAAGTAGCCTTTTGGATGTTGCTTTTAATACACATACTATTTAAGGCATCCTGCTCTTTTAGGCTTTAGCCCCTTGAGATTTTCACAAATATCTGAACTGTTGTGGAAAAAGACTCATTTAGGTAATGTTTTTGTTACATACAGTCTGTGGTTTGAAAAAAAAATATGTCTTACTTTTAGATCAGGGTGAAGAAGAGTTGTATTTGGTGTAGGGACTCTAGATAGTAAAAAGATCTTCAGATAGATTCATACAGTTTTATATGTGTTATCCAATTATATAAATCACTTGATGTTTTTTAAACGAACAGTTTGTAAAATTACAACTCTGAACAGTTACTCTGTACTGTTATTGAAGCCACAAGTTCCTGCTGCATTACTTCTGCCATCTAGTGTTAGCAATATGGCATTGCATGTGTGATCACAGTACTACCAGACTAGGAATTGTATTCCATGCAAATCCCACCCTGTGCCCCCCTTAAATGACAGTATACGTTGTATACATGTTCAGAATAATTCTGTGTGTTTGTGTGTTCAGACGTCAGGAGCTGCGTGAGCTCCGTTTGATGCAGAAGGAGGAGCACCGCGCTCAGGCTGTTCTAAACAGCAAACTGGAAACGCAGAAAGAACAAATGCAGAGACGTTTTGATCAGGAGATGAATGTGAGTCTCACACACACACACACACACACACACACACACACACACACACAATCACAATCAATTGCCACTTTATTAGGTACACCTAGCAACATATCATGTAATCCAACAGCTATAATAAAAAATCCTACACCTGTAAAAAATAAGTCTTCAGCTTTCACCAGCTTATAATATTTTGGCTTTCTATTTGTGTGTCCCAGGCTAAGAAGAAGCACTATGATGTGGAGCTGGAGAACCTAGAGAAGCACCAGAAGCAGACTATTGAGAAGATGGAGGCGGACCACAATGTTAAACTCAAGGATGAGACCAAACGCATCAAATCCGAGCAGGAACGCGACTACCACAAGTTTCAGGATCAGTTAAAACAAAAGAAAAAGGAGGTATGTTAAAGATAATGTGTGTGTATGGGAAAAAAACTCACCATTTCAATTTCTTGCTATCATTTGTCCACTTAAATCCTAACAGGAATCTTGTTAGCTGAAATGTGCCTTCTTTTAATATATTTAGACAAAACAGTCTCTTGATAAGCTGCCCAGAAGTCAGCGTAAAGAATCCTTGAAGCAGAAGATGAATTCCTTCCAGGAAATGAAGATAAGCGAGGTAATTTCATTGATCAACAGTCCTTTGGGCTCATGGTATTTTCATACACACTTAACTTTAAACCAGCTATTCCTTCCCTTCATTCATGGTTTTCTCTTTACTGTGTTTTAGGAAAGTAAATTCCTCACAGCTCAGAAGAACTACCTGGACACCACGCTGATGAGAATCATCTCCAACAACAAGAGAGAGATTGCAGAGACTGAGAGGGAATGCCTTAACAAGAAACACCACCTAATCAGAGGTGCATAGGCTTAATTCAAATCGGTCTTCTAAGTCTTATTAGTCTTAGCCCACCCTCTGGTGTGGGAAGGTACATTTGTATTACATTCAGCAACTCTTGTCATTTTGCTTCCATTAGAGCGCGAGGCTACGATATGGGACATGGAGGAGAAGAACCTTTACGAGAGACACCAGTTATTGAAGCAGCAGCTGAAAGACCAGTATTTCCTCCAGAGGCACCAGCTTCTCAAAAAACATGAGAAGGTAAATCATTGGATTACAACTCCAATGCCACAATATGTTTGCACCCACCATTTTACACCAAAATCAAGTCCTGAGACAGTAACTAACATTCCTAAGTACATATTTTCCCTGCGTACTCATCAAATGAATGTGCCAATGTATCTGTTTCTTTGTGTCACTGCAGGAGCAGGAACAGATGCAGTGCTACAACCAGCGAATGATTGAGATTTTGAAAGCCCGGCAGCAGCAGGAAAAGAACCGGCTGCCTAAGATCCAGCGTGGTGAGGCCAAGACCCGCATGGCCATGTTCAAGAAGAGCCTCCGCATCAACTCAACAGGAAGCTCATCTGAAGACAGAGAGAAGATCAAACAGGTGGGTTGGTAGCACATGGTTTTTTCCTTCCATATCTAAGCATCAAGTTAATTATTTAGTAACTCGCTCCCTTTTGGTTTCTTTTTAGTTTTCTCAGCAGGAGGATAAACGACAGAAGGCAGAGAGGCTGCATCAGCAGCAGAAACATGAGAACCAGATGAGAGAGATGATTGGTCAGTGTGAAAGCAATATCAGAGATCTGCAGCAGCTACAGGTGAGTGAGGGGAAACACTCTCATCTTTTACACACACATTTTATACACAATGAGCACAATAAATGGCCTGCAGATGTTAACAAGAGGATGTTTTGTGCTTTCAGAATGAAAAATGTCACCTGTTGGTTGAGAATGAGACTCAGAGGCTCAAGCAGTTGGATGAACAACACAACCAGCTGATGAAGGAATGGAGGGATCAGCTGAAACCCAGGAAGAAGGTATGTTTCCCATCACAATGTTATTACAATGTGTGAAGCAAGTAAACTAACTAATATATTGATGTATATAAGAGACCTATCTAAAAGAGTAGTTCAGTTTTAGGGAAATATGCTATCTTGCTATCTTGATAGATTTGATTTGATTGAGACTTAGATGAGAAGATTGGTGCCACACTCTTACCTGTGCAACACCTCTAAAACTCACTTTTGAAGACTTGTGTGCATCTTATCTGTGTAATCTGTAAACACAAAAATGTAAAAAGTTGTGGTTTTACATGTTTTTTTCTTTGCAAAAAGCATGGGGACAGTGAGCTAAGCTAACCTTCTTTGGTTACAGTTTCATACAGTACCTAAAGCACAGATATAATATTGAGTGGTATCAATTATTTCATCATTTTCAACATACAGTGTAGTCTACATATTCAGCTTGTCCTATATTCAATAAAGACTGCAGAACACACTAAGGAAGACAATATAATAGTTTTTTCTATTATCTTGGTATAGAAACATTCCACAACATTATAAAAGTGTGAATACAGTTTAAATCCCTCTAAGTAAGCTGGGTCAGGTAATCTTATAGATATTTTGTTTTCCACCCTTCTCCTCCAACCCTCCTAGACCCTCGAAGACGAGCTTAATATGAAGAAAAGGGAGCAGGAGGCTTTCTTCAGGATGAGCGAGAGTTCTGACTGCCCAAACCCAAGTTCTCCCAACAAACTCTCTAAGTTTGTGCCTTACCAAGACTCTTCCACCACATAAGAACAGCTGCTGTGACGTTTCACTATATCTCTTGGCCACTGTTAGAACCGACACATGACCATATACACACTTACCCATACGCCCGCAGGCTTTACAATTGCCTGCTGTTTTAGTTGGCTTTGCCTGTAATGGCAGCACGCCTATCCCTCCATCAGGTTTCTTTATTGTTTTAGTGAATATTTATGTTTTAACTCATGTTCTAAGTTTTTTTTTTTTTTTTGTTTTTTTTTTGTGTTGTAGCATTTATTGGATTTATAACTTATCATGTGCTATCACATGACTCAATTACATAGTCACTGCTCCCATACAGTGTTTTTAGTTTCCTTTTTCTGTTCAAGTCTGCTTCTTATTCTTCCAGTGAAACATTAGGGTGATATGGTACAGTGGCCATGAGTTTGGGGGAGCTGAAGATACCAAACTGTCTGTCTAATTTAGTTAATATTGAGGAAAAAACACTGTTTTGGATGGGAAGATGTAGTTTGCGGTCTCTCAGCACCCAGCGAGAGAATTTATTTTTGCATGAGGTGGAACAATGTTTTGTTTCTATGAAAGCTGGTGAGCCAGTAACTGAGCACTTTTTGTTTAGCCCAAATTATCAGTGCCGTCTTCCAAATAGCATGACCAAAAACACAATTTAATAATTTACTTTTTTTAAATTTACCCCATTTCTGTATAGCTTTGCTCATAAGTCAGATGCATGTCACATAGCAGCTAAAGTCTGCCTTTATTTATTTTTACTGATAAAGAACAACCGTATCAAGATTCATCACTGTAAATGTTAATTTAAATATTTTCTCTTTTTTTTTTAACCAACACCCATGGTATGAAGGATGCGCTTATCATTTTATATCATGTTTGAAATGGGGGATTAGGCTAAATCCAGATCAGAATTTAATAGTTTCTTTTAGTAATTATTTAGGAATGAGATTTTAACAGACAAGGGAAGACTAATTGTTATTCACAAAGTATTGTTATTGTGACATTTGTGCTTTTCTGTTGTATTTTTACTGTAAAATCAGTCACACTGGATGGGAACTGACAAAGCCAAAGCAAAATACTGTTGTTGTTGTTTAGTAGATGTTAGATAGGAGACTTAAATTTGAATTTAAAAAATGTATTAAATGTATAATTGTCATACCATGTGCAGTAAATGCACTGCCTGCTAACCAAAGTGCAATATTATGTGTATATCTTTGCTAAGCTTAAAGAGGTTTATTTTTTCTTAAACTTTGCCTTCCTTTGCACTGAGAGGGGGAATAATATGAAGAGTTTAACTCCACCAATAGATGTATCAACCTTTTGAAAGAAACAGCATTGCTAGAAAATGATTTAACCTTCATAATTTTTAGTACTTGGGAAGCAATAATTTAGGGTTTAATTTTTCAAATAAGGATCTGATTTTGGAACATAACTCTTCATATAATTTTTTAAGAGAGTGCAACATATAAGTCTGCTGTAAGATGCCTTTTTTAGATGTTTAATCCTAAACTGAAACTTTAAGCTTGCAGCAGAGGAACTTGTTGCCTTATTGAGTGAGACATTTTTTTTTTTTTTATAGCAGTTTGGCCTACAGATTTACGTTGAGCCAGGTCAGCAATCAGGTACAGCTTAAGATCTCTTTCCATCTCGCACTCTCTCAAAAGTATTTATATTTGTTGTAAAAATTATCTTTCCTGTCATGTTTAATGGCTCCAGCTATGCCTTCCTCTCTGCCTCAGTTTACATGATATAGTTTATATGGAGGGGTTGTGAGTGTGAATGTAACTGTATCAGAAGGAACCACTGTTGTAAATAAATCTTAATAAAGGCAGATTTTCTAATTACTGGATTGTGTTGTAGGCTCTTTCTAATAGTAGTAATAGTAATACATCAGGATTTTTAGTCACGTTTTTCATGATCTGGACACCACAAGATTTTTAGAAAAGAGAGGCGGGCAAAGTTCCCTTCTATTCTCGATTTGAACGTGAGAGAAGGGATATTTAATAGAAGGCTAGAAGAGGATCATCTGTACGTTACAGTAGGTTTCATCCACGTACCTGCACTGAACTTTTGTAATTCATTACGATATCTAATCACATGCTTGTTCTCATTCACTGTAGCAGAAGTCACCAGCTCCCTCAACACTTGCAAGGGTTAAAACGACAGCGTGAGAGGTTGGTCACCACAATATGCAACTCGACCCATGTTTGTTTTTGGGTTTTTTGGGTCACTTGGAGGCAGCACAATAAGCTGTAAACACACTGACATTGTCACCAAAAAGTTTATAACCAAGGAATAACCACTCTTGCATGTAGTCATTTAATCCATTATTAAAAGTGCCCTGTGAAGTTTTCTTGTAGAAAAGTTAGGTTTACCTTCATTGTGTGAATCCTTAGTCTAACAAACACATTGAATGTTTCCGTATGAAACATCTGTACATTTTAAAAAATATTTTACACTGCATATTTACTGGCTGGTGTTTTCCCCCATCAAATGTCCATCAGTGGAAATGAGTGAAACCAATGGGATTTTAATATGACAAACAGTGACAGCTGAACTGAAAAATCAAAAAATTTTATTGACTTAAGTAAAAGAAGACACAATGTAATGAAAAATACATGTCAAAAAAAGTAAATACGATTACAATACTGAAATGATGACACCATCAACCCACTTGCCTTGCGCTGTACTGTACCTTCCTGCCTTCTGTCCACATAACGTATACCTGGACAATAAAATTGTTTGCATTTAAAACATGATTTTTTTTTTCCTAGTTGGTAATTTACTGTCCTTTATTTATAAAACATGGGTGGAAGGTGGAATTACATTCTAGCAACTAGAAGCAGAACAGAATCTGTTGCAGCTTGAAGCCTTGTCTGTGAAGAACCATGAACATACAATTTTATTTTCCAACTTGGCTTATTTATTTAGTAAACCTAACACTTTTCTGCTTTTTGTGAAATTAGCAGCCACTTGTTTCACATACTTTTATTAAGTGACTTATTTTTCACCTATCTATCGACAGAAAAACAAAAAAAACAACTCTGTATTTCCTCTAATTGGCAAATCCCATAAATCAACCAAGCCAGTTCCTTCTCGTCTCTTTCTTCTTTAAATCTCTTCACCAGTACAGAGTTAAAGACCTAACAGATGGACCATCAAAGAAAAGTGACAACAGCTAAGATATGTCTCTCATTTCTGTACAATAAAAAATAATTTGCTATACTGACCATGCTTGAGACCAGTCAAGCATTAATGTAAAACATTTTTATACAATGGTCATATTTTGCTGTTATTTGAGCACCAAACTTCGGTTAAGAACAGACTGTACACTTACAATACTGTAAATCATTGCACAAATCACTGCAGAGCTCCAATTTCGTATTTCTTAGGTCAGACATCTGGTACAGATATGCAGACAAGCTCTGCAAGTCACATTTCACAATTCCTATTTGGGTGTGAGATAACATGATTAAGCTGAAATACTTTGACAAAGTTTCTTTTTAAGTTTCAGTTTGGATGTTAGCCTCATCTTGACAATCTTGGATATTTGTTACAGTGAGTATAAAAAAAACATAGCTAATAAAAAATGACTAATAAAACTAAGAAATAAAATGCTCTGTGGCATTCTTCCCCTTCCTTCAGCGTGTGCAAACCTCAAACCTACCTCATCTGAAATGACTGAAAAAAGTGCACATCTGTTACAAGTCACTGCAACATTAATTATGCAGTCAACAAAGAAAGCATTACAATAGCACAAAAACAAATATGCATGTTTCTAGTATAACAAACAGCACTTCTACTTGGCAAAGACATCTCTTTTAGTAATTGCTAATAGCACTTAAAAGCCTAGATATAGTCATAGAACTCCCCCAGTGAGTTCATGTGCAGTCTTTGTCTAAGGGATTTAGGATTTTTTTTTTTTTGTCTACGGCTGGGGAAAGACTGGCTGGACTTGACCATCTAGTGTATTCTCTTGTGATGTAGATGTTTGATTTTTAGTCAGAAGGCTTTTTACGATTCCCACAAGGACTATGTCTACAGTTGCATACAGTATATTAAGCACTGAAGCACTTTGCATATAATATAGAGGCACCATATCATAGAAGGCATGGGTGGAGATACATTTACTGCTGTTACTAGCATTTAACCTTTTTTTTTACCTAAGAGTTCATGTAATAATAGATAAAAACAACAAAAGTAAACATCACAAGACCCAACAAGGTCATGTGTTATTGCTGGTTCAGTTTAGGTAGAATATTCTTATCAAAATGAAAAGTAACAAAAATTCAATAAAAAAAAGGTACCTATAAATAAAAAAAATGCTAATAAGCTACAAAGTAGTGATATTTAGTTAATTTAAATCCTTAGTTTATTTATTCATATGGCAATGGTTTTGGGAGCACATTCACACTAAGGTTTCTTGCTCAGGTAATTCGAGGGGATCCAGCCCTCGACTTCTTCTCTTACATTTTTACAGAACCACCAGCCGCTGCCGTTTTTTTCCAGCACCTCAAACACTGTACCCACCTTGAAGCCGGATGTGTTTTCATCCCCTTCAAAGTCTGCCACTGCTAGATACAGCTCATCCTTACTGGGCTCCTTGAGTAAAGGTGGAAGCTTGTCCTTGGGCGGGCCGGGCTTCTCACTCTTCACCAGGGGCTTGGGAGGAATCGGGACTTTATTAACTTTGGGATCTTCTTTCTCTTTGTTTGGAGGTGCCAGAACAAACCCTTTGGGTTTAGGGGGAGGGGGTCTGCTGAGTGGTGCCGCCTTGGGCATGTCCTGGGCAGGTGGAGGTTTGAGCTCAGTCGGGCTGGATGGACTCTCCTTCTTTGGAGGAGGAGGTCTCCTTGGAGCCAAGCCGGGGGGTCTCTGGGGAGGTTCCTTGTGGGGAGGCACTGCTGGTTTTCCAGGGGGTGATGAACTCTCCTGGCTATGACCATTGATGTGTTTTGGGGGGAGTTTTGGCTCGTCACAGTGCTTACCATTATTGAGAGTAGGGATATGGATGGGGGGAGAGCTAGGGGGTGGACTGGGTTGAGAACTATTTACTGATGCTGAGGTTTCAGACGCAGAGCCGAGATCTGCAGGTTTTGGCGGCCTCAGCTTGCTTCTCAAGTTGGTGATGTCAAGTTTGTTTTCTGCCGGAGGATCTGGCTTGGCAGCTGGAACAGGTTTAGGTCGGATCACTGGCTTTGGCTTCATGAACACGGCTGGGCCAGCTGCTTCTGGTTTCTCCTCCTGCGCTTCTGATTTGGGTTTTGGTGGCTGTTTAGGTACGGGTTTCAGGTTAAACTTTTTCACCTCTTTGGCTGATATCTTGTGGCCACATTCAAGACCCATCTCATTCCGAAGGTGAAGAGGTTTATTCTTATCTTCTTTCTTGGTCTCTGGTGGTTTGTCTTGTTTGAAGGGGGCTGCTTTGGGTGTAACCAGCGGCACGATGACCCCAGGAGCTGGGGGTTTTGGGGGCAGAGGTTTGGAATGATCAGATCTCGGTTTTTCTGCTATCTCCAATTCAAAGCTCTTATTAATGGACTCCCTTCGAGGCGGCAGAGCTGGTTTTTCCTCGACTGGAGGGGCAGCTGGAGCTGGAGGTAAAAGCCCAGGGGCCCCCTTGCTGGCACCGGACTTCCAATCTCTGAGCTTAGGCCGGGCAAAGGACTCGGGGACTGTGGTTGGCTCATCTGGTAAAGGCTTGGACCAGCTGTCATCTGTGCCTGAAACATTTGAAGAACCACTATCTTCCAGTCTCAGCTTCTCCATCTCATTGGGCAGAGGGGCAAGGAAATTAGGTCTCAGGGCATTACTGGTCTTTTTGTACTTGTCAATAAAGGTGGCGGGGGCCCAGCCTTCTTTGTCATCTATCTGGATGTACCACCAACCACTTGCATTCTTCTCAATCACCTGTTAGGTAAACAAATTTACAAATCTGTATTCAAACAATATTCACTATATTGTTTATTTTAAATGCCAGTGTGTAGGATTTAGTAGGATTTAGCAGGGTTTGGTTTGCCCATTCTGGGCTACTGTAGCAACAGCAAAGGAACCGTGGAAGAGGACCCGCCGCACCCTCAGTAAATAAAAAAGTCTCTTTAAGGTAACAAAAACACATCTGTTCTTATTTTCAGGTGATTGCACACTAATGAAAACAACTAGGATTATTACATTCCATTTATGCCTACAGATCCTTCTAAATGTTAGTGCCTGACCCACCTCAACTTTGACTCCGGCTTGGAAGCTAATACCATCAGGGATGGTGGTCTGGAAGTCTGCTATGGTGTAGAACTCTTCCTCAACCTGAGGAGGAATGGGCGGCTTGGGAAGGTTTGTACCACGTGGCTGTGGAATAAGAGACACATAAGGGTTGAGTCAGTCAATTAAGAGCCATCTTCCAATACAATAGAGTCCCCACTGTTTGTATGGGATCGCTTACAATGGTAAGATCTCTGCGTGGGGGAGGTCTGTGTCTTGATCCCACTTCTGTGAATGAAAAAGACACAAAGTAATCAATTTTGTTAAAAGACAGCTTTGAAATGTGTGAAAGTGTTGCAGCAGCAAAACAGATAAGCAGTTTACTGGATTTTAATTCACTTCCTACTTTTGTTCTCGGAAAAGAATGAGAGTCGGTTTTCTTTATGGCTGTTGTCTCGGTTGTCTCTGGTTGCATTGTTTTGCTGGTTCTGTTTAGAAACCCCATCTAGGTCATTGGTACTGGCGTGAGCAGCGCCACCTGCTGACTGCTTCTGGCTCTGGATGTCAGACTTCTTCAGGTAGGAGGCTGGGGCCCAGCCCTCACGGCCCTGATACCTGAGTGGAGGAAAGATGTACAATCAGTGGCTTCAGGGGAGAACACAGTTGGACTGGGTAGGCAGTCTGTATGATGAGATCAGACAATTTTCTTTTACATTATTATTATCTAAGTTGTTACTTAATTTATATGTTTAAATTAATTATTTCTCTCTTTAGTAAATACAGTTTTTTTTTATATTGATGTCATTGATTGTATTACCTGATCTTCCACCAACCCTCCAAGTTCTTCTGAATCACCTCAACAATCATGCCCCTCTCCAGGTCAATCTCATCTTCGTCCCTGGCCGAGTACGGGTAAATCACAGTATATTTCTCTTCTGTTGTCAGAAAAAGACAATATTGGTAAATCTAAAAACAGTGTCTTTTTAAAAAGAAATTCTATGTACATGTTTACAAATAGGGAAGCACAAAGAAATGCTGATGTAGCATGATAGCTCGGGAGACTAAGCGCACACATGGATTACAATGGCTTGTTTCAAAGTTAAAGCTGCAATCTGGAACCTTCCTAAAAATCAAACTACAACAAAGATGTCAGAGTGTGTATTGCTGTATTCATGAAATTGTTTAAGCTTTTTGTCGTTGGTATGCAGTGAAAATGTCTGCAATCTTTTAATGGAAGGTTCATCATGACACTCTGCCTATGTCATTTAGGATGCGGTCCTGTAATTGGTACAGAAGTGCATTGTTTTGACTTCAACTACCTGATTAAATGAGGCAAGGCTTGAGCAGCATCTTGTGGAGTGAAAAGATGTAAGATACACACATGTGCAACACATAAAACACACATTCATCCTCCACAAATATTGACCACAAACAGGAAAAACTTACTGGACATGTAGCCATTTGTACTATTCTCATTATTATTTCTAGTATTTATTATATTCCATGTAATTCTACAGATCTATCAAGTGTTTAATGCTGGTTAATTGAAATGACAGACATCTTCCTTATACCACTTTCTTATGTATTTATATCAGATAAAATGACAAACCACTTTTCATGCAAGGATTTAATTTACATGCTCGGATCTCTCATGCAAACAAACATTTCATGCATACACACAAACAAACATGCACACAGTTGTGTATGCATGTGTGCACACACACATTCAGAATATGGGGAGAAGAAAGGCGTGCGCTCCACCTTGCCCAAAGCCTGTGCTGAATAGATCCCCTAAAGTTCTGCGACGACCCATGTGCCTTGGCAATGACCAGAATCTCCGAGGCACTGACATCCCAGCACAGTAAGTGGGGCAAAATAGGAAGTGAACATTACATAAGCCATGTGGAGGATGTTTTCATCCTAAATGAGAGCACTGTCAATATTGGTGGGCCTAGTAGAAATCATAAGGCATGTTTCTACTGCATGGTACTGCGCGGCTTGACTCGCTGTTTTTTTGGTTTACCATTAAGCATAGTAGTAGCTGGTACTTTTTGTGGTATCACCTCAGTAGAGGTTCTAAGCGAGCTGAGCAGATATTAAAAGGTGATGTCTGGCAGTAAATGTACAGTGTAAGTTACCCCTTGTCCACACACCATGTGCGAACAATGTGTGACGGGTGCCTCGCTGAACTGCTGCGGCTTGCACGCCTGTATGGTCCACACAGAGAGCCTTTCTGCTGCGGCTTTGTTCCTGCCAGTCCTATCTTTCTACACTAACTATGCCTTTGATAAAAACAATACAATAAAAGTCTTGATAACAATGAATGGGTTCTGTGCACAGAAATGCTAGAGAGCTTTTTTTAAATCTGAAACTGACACAGGAGGTGTTGAGTTAAAGAAATATAGTTTATTTTCACATCTGTGTCATATCCTACAGATATAGTGAAAGGTGTATTGTATGTCTATATGACTATAAACAGATAATTTTCACTGTGTTATTTAGCTGGGAACCGTCTGCAGAAAAAATAGGAACTATTTTTGACTCTCTAATAAAGCGTTGCTTAGCCGCACATCTAATGCGGGCAGTGTTAACACGGGCGCCAAAATAAAAAGCAAGTACTGCGTGTTCCACGACGGACACACTGTTCACACGTGCTGTGTGGACCAGACTTTACATTTGTCAATGAACATGAAAGGCTGCAAGTTCTTGAAAACAAAGTAGAGATACCAAAAGTGTGTCAAGTCGAGCTGTACCATGCAGTGGAAAAACTATAACAGTTCTCCTCCTGGCAGGTCTGGTGACATTTTACCCATGGACCGACAAATCATTCCTCTAAGTTTGTGCACATTTTAATCATTTTAAATCATAGTATTACAGGTTCCATTCATATGTGTTCTCCTCCTCAAACCCCAAGCGTTGTCCTTATCAGTACGTTGGGAATACTATTGTACAATGCTACTGCCACCAAAGGCAGTTTAATGTATACGTTGTTCTTTTAATAGTAAGTTGTAGACCATACAGTTTATGGTTAATTAGGGGGTGATGTAGGCCCTGAGCATGGTCTTGGGACTATTTAATTAAATCTTGTCATTACTGATGCCGACTAGCATAGAGACAACTTGACCATATCATGTACTTGCTCAATTGCTCATTTGTTTCCTTCTATTTTTGTATTATAGATCTATACATCTGCAGTAACGTCAGTGAACGTGGATGTTAGTTGTGAGTGAGTCTCTAATTCTAGGGCTGAGGGGTGACCTGCCCAACAAAGACAGGGCAGCCAGCTAAATGTCCACTTTTAAACCACATACTTTTTAGGCTTGCCAAGACTTGACATATGGTCTATAATTTGAATATTGGCTGTATCCTTCTTTGCTTACCAGGGTTGCTACCATGTGCTGAACTGTATCATTACAGTATATTATGGTATCATCTACTGTACACTGTGCTTTTTTATATAATATCATTCCAAAGCTATACCACAGATAGCATTTATTTACCTATTTGTTCGTGTTTTTGTTCAAGTTTAACCTTTTAGTGCATCACTTGCATATATTGTATTTCTACATAATTAGATTGTGGTTTGCCCAAGAGTGTTGGCAACAAGACACAGCAAGTGTGTGGGCAACAGGTGAGGTTGTGTATTATATTCTGCCGGTGTGTGTTGCCCTTAACAGCAATCCAATTATGTTGAAATACATAATTGTGAGGTGTCATATTTGCTGTTGAGATCTGTACATCACCATGACAATTTCTATTTCTATTTAAATGTAAGTGCTAATGTACTCAAATGGTGCATGCCAAATGACGTAACTTAGTACTATGTGTGGTGTGTTGCACTTGAAGGAAAAAGACAACAGCACAAACACTTTTTGTCAAAAAGAGTACAGTAT